TGTTGTTTTCGTCCCTATAGTTTGTAATTTATTGTTATTTTCATCCTTGAGACTAAATCTATTAAAAATAACCACAAGGGTGGTGCCTGATTGGTTTGAGCTTGACTCCAAAGGTCAAAAGTACCTGGAGGTCCAATGTTCAAACAAGGAGGAATAAGAATCTTCTTGTGGCCATGGAGATTCAATTGCGGTGACTCCAGGCTATATGCAAAGCAGGTGGTCGCTCTAGGATTAGTCGGCTCGCATAGCGGGTTGGATATCCAGGTTAATAAAAAAAAAATCTATTAAAAAATCTTTTTAGGGTATCTTAGTCTTTTGATTATTTTTTTTTTTGGTTTATTAAACATATTTTTTTTGGTATTTTAGTCTTTTTGATATGATTAAACTATATATTTTGAAAGAATTAATACGTAAAAAATCAATATCATTTTGTTATTGTTTATGATAAACTAATTAAATATTTTTCATACAATTTGCTGTTTCATATTTTTGGTCATTATTGCCTTAGTTTCATATTAGTTCGATTTTTGTCACTAACGTCATTCAAGTGCAAGTTGTTAAGTACCTTTCACATGATAACATTTAAAAAATCTCCATTTATCCCGTCTTTGATTATGTTTATTAGTTAGTTATGAATTTCTTAAAGCTATCTTTAAAAAAGTTGTACTCATGTACCATTTACTTGTAATCTTGAATTTTAAATAGTATTTAAATATAATAATTAAGTATTTAGTTAAAACTCAATGATTATCCTAACTATATTTTAGATTTTTTATATTTAAAATGAGATATTTATTTTGTATTTGATTATATTTATCAGTTAGTTATATGAATTCAAACATATAGCTTTAAAAAGTTGTATTCATACACTATTTACTTGTAATCTTGAACTTAAACGTTGCGTTCTCAAAAATCATTTTATGAAGGAAAAGAAAGGAAGGGGAGGGAAAGGTGAGGAGAATGAACAGATTTGTGTTCTCGAAACTTTTTTAGAATAGAAAGGAATATGCATCAACAAATCGTACTTGATCATTAAAGATGTTTTTTAAGAGTTTAACTGTAACATCCTAAGATCACATTTGCATATAAATGTATATTTTCATATATCAAAAAAATATAATTTACACATTTAGTCCCAAATTCTTCCGAAAATTATATTACAAAATAGCTAACAACTTTTTCCACAAAATCCCTATACAATACATGAATACATAACAAGTACTCAGATACAAAAGAATAATATGATAGCCCAAAATCCTATGCAAACATAATATTATCACTTCACAATTTTCCCTTCCCCTTATCTTTTGGTTGTGCCCGAGTGGTAATGCATATTTTTGAAACACAAAATAAGGGTTAGACCTTCAAGTATAGTGAGAAATCCCTTTGATGCAATTATAGGGTGAATAATTACCAAATCACATTTATAAATTTTTATTTGTAATAATAGCAAATATACATTATCTTGATAAAAAAAACCTCATTTATTGCGTTCAAATACCCATATAACTTGATGAACACATTATGGGTAAAACTTGTCGCATCTTACAAATTCCTCGCATCACATAGATGAGACAAACCCATGTCCTCGTAACACACTGGTGCGAGAATATAAACTCATAGCATCATATGGTGAGATAAACCCAAGTTGTCGTATTATATGGGTGCGACAAAATTAACTTGTCGCATCCTTGCCTCATCGCATCACAAGGATGCGATAACCACATTTCATGGCATCATATAGGTGCAATAACTCTAAGTTATTGCATCACACAGATGTGACAACTCCAAGTTATCGCATCATAAGGATGCGATAGTTATGAACACTTTGATTTCTAAAACCTAGATTTTTAACACTCAAAGATTATGCCACCTTTACCCTGGTATACACATTTCCTTGACAAGTCACCCTTATTTCCACACTTGATGTAATCATAACAATAACCCACAGTCTTTGCCAAATTCTGGCATCAAAAGAGTTTTAACAACAATTTCATATAAAGAACCATACGGTTTTAAACCCAGTTTCCAAATAAGAAAAGTTTATACTAATTAAACTCACCTTGTGATCACGTAGATAAATAGCAATAATCTTCCAAGTAGAAATCACAAAGTTAAATCCGTTCTTCCCTCCTTATGTTTTCTGTTTGGATCGAACCTAACAACACACAGAGAGAAAACTTTGTACCAACTTTTTAACAATATCCATGAGATAAAAATTATCTCATATTAAAACCACTTAAACCATTGAGGTGGTGATGACATTTCTTTTAAAATTATTAAAGCAAATAAGCACTTTAAACCCCTCAACTTATTCAAACTTTTCAAAAACCATCCCAGGCTTTAACATTGGATACCTGGTTATCACATTAACCAAATGCTATATAAATAATAAAAGTATACTCAATTTTATAATACAGTGTTTAATTATTTGAAGACTCTTTTGTTTTTTTTTTATAATTTGTTTAATTTAAGTTTGAGAATAAACTCTAATTTTGAGTTCCGAGGTTTAGTGAAATATTTGAAAGTGAGATGAAAACTTTAATAAGCCTAGAAACAATCCTCGTGATTCTCATTTTGTTTTAAAAGTGGTCCCTAATTATTAACTTTGTTAGAAATGTCTAGTAAAGTTAGAAATGTATCTTGTTGCATTACGCGAGTAGCTTTCTAGTATAACCAAATAGAAATTATATACATTGAATGATCTCTAAAATAAGCATTACATATAATACAGATAAAAATAATTTGATCAACCTTATATTATCTTAATTAATTAATAAAAAACCATTTTTAAAATTATTATATTTATTTTTTTGAAGATTAAATATATTAGACAATGATATAATTATAAACGATAAGATTAATAATAATTCTAAGGGGGCGTTTGGTTCGTCGGATTCTGACGGAATCTGATAAAATCGGAATGATCAATTCCGTTGACCAAATTCCATTCCGACGTTTGGTTACCTATGAAGTGGAATTTAATTCCAAACATTCCCTTAAATGTGGATTTGATCATTCCTTCACAAAAGTGATAGAATTGAAATCCATTCCAACAAGTATTTTGAAAATGACAAAAATACCCTCACTGAAAGATAAAACCTTAACTGCTAAACTCCTTCATGATCGAAGTCTGGACTCAATCGATAGATCGATTTCTTTACCGGTCGATTTCTTCACCATTAAACCCTAGCCGCTGACTCCTTTACCGATCGAATGCTTCTTCTAGACTCCTCCACCGATCGATTTCTTCCTCTGTAACTCCTTCACCCATCGATTTCTTCCTCTAAACTCTTTCACGATTTTGTCAAAGACTCATTCACCGATCGATTTTTGATTTACGATTTCTTCCTCTGGACTCCTTCACAGTGAAGATGACAATTAAGATGATTCGAGACTATGTATTTGAAGTGAAGATAACGATGATGAAGATGATTCGAGGAGGATCCCCGTTGGATTTGTAACAGTGATGAGCTTTGTATATTATCCGATGATTTTATCCACACACCCACCACGATTTATGAATCCCACTCTGTACAATTATTTGACAATGACGATATGATTTTATCCCACAGTATTTGATACATGATTTTGATTTCACCCAATTAAAATTATAACTATTTATAATTAAAAAACAACAAAGCAAAGGGTATTTATGTCATTTTTCATTATTCCATTCTAATTCCTTTGTAAACCAAACAAATAGATTAAAATTCTTTAACAAATTCCATTTCAGTGTCTGCCAACAAAACTGGTGGTCAAACCTGACAACATTTCATTTCAATTCCTTCAGTCAAAAATCTTTGACATATTTCATTCCATCCAAAAACATTATGCGAACCAAACGCCCCCTAAATAATTAGTACTAAGTGAATAATTTACAATTATATTTTAAAATTAACAGTAATTTATAATTAATATTTATTAATAATTAATAGTAATAGATAACAATTAACATTAAAGAGGGTATAATTAGAGAACAATGGCAAAAAGCTTATGAGTAACTACAGGTATCCGGAAAAGATTACATGCACCAACTGATCCTTAGGAGGACCACAAATGATCTGAAGTTATCACAAGTGAACATCCACAACCACAAGGGCTTTAACAACATATGGATACAAACCTTATCAATAATATCCCTCTAAGCCTGATCCAAATACAAACATATTTAGAGCATATATGATTTACGTGTGTAAACAATGGTCGATCGATATTATAGTAGTGTTGGTCATTATTAGGGCTGTAAATAAACCGAATGAATACGAACGAAGGCTTGTTCATGTTCGTTCGTTTAACTCAAACGAACGAACACGAACAGTAAACGAACGAAAATCTTTGTGTTTGTGTTCGTTCGTTTTTGAAATCAGGTGTGTTCGTGTTCGTTTATGTTCGTTCATTAACATGCTAAACGAACGTAGAACGAATATAAACAAACATAAATAAATATTATTTGAATTGAAGTAAATAAACAAAAAATTATATATTAAATTTAATTTATAAACGAACGGATATAAATGAACGTAAACGAACGGTAAATGAACGAACGTTCACGAACATAAATGAACGAACGTGACTCTTGTTCATGTTCGTTCGTTTAACTAAACGAACAAAAAAAATTGTTCATGTCCGTTCATTTATTAAATAAACGAACTTCCCACAGTTCAGTTCGCTGAACGTTCGATTTGTTTACAGCCTTAGTCATTATCGACAAATATTTATAAACATCGTCAACACACAAGTCATCATAAACCCTAAACAACCACAAGAAACAAGGTTTTAGAGGCTTTGTGGTCCGGCCCAGTACATCTATAGATTTTGTGGCCCAAATAAACCTACTGAAACTGTACTGAATTGTATTTTCTATTTTTTAAAACGGACAAAACATAAAATTAAAGGAAATAGCGAGGATAGTTTTGAAAGGAACATCTCTTTAATTTATTTAGAAAGAAATGTTCATCACCAAACTAAAAGTTAATTTTTATTAAAATATATAGCAAAGAGACCTAAAATCAAAATAATAACTGATATAAACCAGATTTCTTAAACAGTTTCAAGATTGTCAGATGTTTTTCCACAATCTGTGTTTGATATGGACATCTTCGTACCGTCATCGCTATGCTGTTGATTCAACGGTGGGTCGTGATGTTGCTGGTTCTGATCTTTGCTCTTACCCCATATTACCAAATACAGCCCAACCACGATCACCAATGCTCCAACAACACTATAACACAAAATATAAAATTTCTGTAACACTTGCAAAATCTCTATGAATAGGTTCGTATTATCGAATTAAATTAACTGAACAACCGAAAATCATTGAATTTTTATAAATGCACCTTCCCAAGTTCAACTTCTCGGCTAAAACAGAAGAGCCCATAATGGCGATAATAACCATGGCGAGAGGGTTGAAAGCCGTCACAAAAACGGGTCCTCTCTCCTGCATCACCAACCCTGATATGTAATATCCACATCCCGAACACACAATTCCCTGCATCCACATAAATCAACAATCATTATTTTTTTTTTATTAACCTGGATATCCAACCCGCTATGCGAGCCGACTAATTCCAGGACGACCACCTGCTTTGCAGATAGCCCGAAGTCACAGCATTTGAACCTCCCTTGGATTTGAACCTGAGATCTCCTCGTACTTTTGAACTTTGGAGCTAAGCTCAAACCAATCAGACACCACCCTTAAATGTATATAAGACGGATAATAAATATTAATTTTACTTACGCTATAAATGGCTGCAAATAGTTTGATGTCCCAATTAATGGACCAGATTGAGAAATTGGGCTTCTCAGCTACAAGGGTTACGATGGATCCTTCCAATGACCCCATCATACACACCAATGTCGTCAGGGAGAGCTCCGCTGGGTACGACTTCAATGTCACTGCCTTTTTTGCATCAAATAATTGAACATAATATAATTAGTATCATACATTTCGTCGCTAATTAATTAACTACCGTCGTTAATTAATACCATGTGATCTTTTTTAAACTTACGGAAAAATATAAACCCCGTTGTACCGTTCCCACGGGAACTAGATTGCATGTTTCTTGGGTGGTGTTAGAGATCGAGTACTTTTTATGGTACGGAGAATCAGAATCAAATTCTACTAACGTATTTATATTCAATTCCAACGACTTTTTAATTTTGAAGTGTTCGAACATTAATAGAATATTAAATTTTATCCTAAAAGTTAGGTTTAATTTGAATAACTCTCTTATTGTTGTTTTTTTAAGTATACTAGAAGAGTACTCGAGCAATACAGCGAAACACATCTCGATTTTAATGTTATATTATATTATTTGTCTCTGTCGATGTTATAATACGATTTTATGTGTTTTTAATAAAGCAATAATAATTTTATTTTTGAATAAATATAAATTTGAAGATATCATAATAATTTGAAGAAAAAAAATATCAATRTTAATATCAAATCAAYYATTTAAAAGTTCACATTTTTTATTTAATTTATTTTTTATTATTATAATTTAATTTAAGTTTAATATTGAAATAATTTATTTTTTGTTTAATAATATAACATTGTATAAAGATAATAATTAAGTATTCTGTTAGAACTTAATGATTATCCTAATTATATTTTAGATTTTTTATATTTAAAATGAGATGTTTATMWTGTATTWRATTATGTTTATCTGCAGTTAGTTACACGAATTCAGATATGTAGCTTTAATAAGTTGTACTTACGCATAAATTACTTGTAATCTTGAGTTTTAAGTAATGTGCATTAATAAACAATACTTTGCGCATAAAAAGTGGTTTTTAAGAGTTTTTATCAAATTCTTTATAATATAGTATAGATAATATTTATATACGGCAAATGCAACAAATAAAGTCACACACCCTCCTCATCTTTGGTGATGTTTGAACCCCTGACCTCCTTGGAGGCAAAGACTGCGATACTGTTAGGTCAAAGACGCTTTGGTAACTCTTTTATTGTTGAGAATAATACAAAATCAGGGAGTTATTCAAGTTTGGAGAATTCAGTGGGTGTTTGGGATTGCTTATAAATACAACTTATTAACTTATTCCGGTGTGGTACTGGTAATGAACACTTTTGAGTGTTTGGATAAACAACTAATACCGGTGCCAAACCGGTAATAAGGAGTTTTAAAGATTCGTTCGCGTAAAGTTGTTTATCTTGTTTCATTTCTTTATCCATGAATTGAAAGTGAATTTTGGACGGAAATCTTACTTGAAGAATGACGAAACTTGCCCAAGAAAAGCAACCAGCAGTGATCATGAGAGATCCCTTAATCTGATCTTGAGCATTCATGGTTTTAACTGAAGATTGATGATGATCGACGGTGTGATGATTCGTCCACGGAAATTGGATCGAAGGGCCTCTTATTAGCGTCATCATCATCGCTCCTCCAATCGTCGCTAATGTTCCTATCATCTTCCCTTGGCTATGTAAACTCTTCATCTTCACCTTCTCAAGTCTACCAAAATTAAATATATAAATCAAATCCCTTTTGTTTGCAAAGAACAGTTATTACTGTAAGAAAATGAATACCTAAAGATCCATGCCATAACAAAGGTAATGGCGGGAAGGATGTTGCACATAGCCGTCGCGAAAGTGGCCGTCGTATATTTCATTCCAGCAAAGAACAAGTTCTGGTCTATCACTGGCCTGTTTCTCATCCGATCAATGGAAAATTAAACATCAAAACCATCCATCATTCTCGTAAAAATGTGAAAGAAACCGTAAGAGCAACTTGTTGGTTCGATAATCCACCAAATCAACTTAAAATCATGGTGGAAATTATTAATAATTTGAATTTTTGAAGCATTTTTCACAAAACAATATTACACAGAGTTATGCTGTAAGTCTGGAGGTCACTCTAGAGTTAAATTCAGACTTACAACTCTGAATTTTCCCAGAGTTATGTTGTAAGTTTGGAGGCCACTCCAGAGTTAAATTCAGACTTACAACTTAGAATTTTTCCGTAATAATGTTGCAAGTCTGGATGACACTTCAAAATTAAATCCAGACTTACAATTTTGAATTTTTTCAGAGTTATGTTGCAAGTCTGGAGGCCTCTGCAGAGTTAAATTCAGTTAAACCACGAAAACAGGAAAATAAACGTGTAGAGGGACAAATGTCACTTAAATAGACCTATTTGAACCGTAGGTGAAAATTGTGTCTAGATACATGTTTAGGCGGGTTAAATCAATAACTGTCGCACAGAAACATAACACGTAAGATTTATATATATATATATATATATATATAGAGAGAGAGAGAGAGAGAGAGAGAGAACACATACTCTAGTAATCCCAGCAAGATGATTTTGAGAAAGATGGAAACTGTCATTTTTGGCCTTACTTTCCTGTCAAGATTGCACCAGAGAAAACAATTGATAGCAAGAAAGAAAATTAACAATGAAATATGGATCAAAGACGATTAAACGAAATGATTTGAAGAAACGGACCGTTCGATGAAGAAAGCGAAAGGAGCAAAAAAGAGAGCTGCAATGGCATTTCGATAAGCGGCAAAAGTGTAATGATTCAGACCTTTGTTTAACGCAGACTTAACGATCAAGCCATTAACAGCATACGAAGTTTGCAAGAAAACCATGAATACAAAAGGTTTGGAACGGGAATAGACCCCAAGAAACCACTCCTTTGACATGATTAATCGTATCCCACTCATCTTTCTTTCTGAGTGATTCTAATGGCTTCTGGTGGTATATATATATACACCAGATGTTCAAAAAGAGAGCGGTCTTAATTATGTTATGCATTTTGACTTTTCACTGGTCAAACTTACTAATTTTGAACTTTGAAATATATGAATACGGTTTGATTCTCGGGGAAAGCTGTTCAACTATATCGAAATCTGGAACGAAAGTGTTCTTAAGAAACGGTGGTGTTTGATTTATACTTAAGTTTGATCTCAAATTTTGAGATCAAAAGGTACGAACATTGACTTCAAAAGTCAAAACGCTAGTTCTGGTATCCAATTTATAAGATGTGATGACCTAAAAGATGATTCATGTTATAGAAAGTGAACTTTTTAAAATCTCAAGTTATAGGCTAACAAAATAAATTAACCATACTTTAAAACTTAAAAGTTATTTAATTATCTCGTCTAGGTAGGGTTAGGTTCCGAGAAAAACTATAAAAAAAATAAAATATTGAGGAACACATAATTACCATTCACCTATATGTTATGTGCATGTTCATATAAGTAATTTATCTGGTATATAACCAGTTACTTTTATACACATATACATACAAAAATAGGGGTGAGCAGCAGAACTAGGTACCCACTTGTGGAACCAGAACAGTCGGTTCCGGAACCGGAACCGATTGAGAATGGTTCCGGTTCTCAATTTTTCGGAACCGTTACCCGCCGGACCAACTAGTTCCTTTATTGAGGCAAGTCATAAGTTACGAATTTGTGCAGTTTTTTTTTTATATATTTTGTGTAGTTTTTTGTAAAAAAATATATGCAATTTTTTATGTAATTTGTGTAGTTTTATGTTAAAAATATGTGCAACTTTTTATATAATTTGTGCAGTTTTTATACAAAGTTTGTGCAGTTTTTTAATATAAAATTTGTGTAGTTTTTTGTTAAAAATATGTGCAGTGTTTAGTTAAAAAATATGTGCAGTTTTTTACGAGTTTGTGTAGTTTTTTTAACACTCAATTATCCATAGGTACCGTTCTAGGTTGAGGATGCGATGGGTATGCAAGAAGTTGAAACGAGATTCAGAATTTGAGATAAAATTATTCGTGTTTTTTCAAACTTAATTGAATTCATAGTATGTAATCGTTAAACTTTCAACATTTACTATTAGTCTATTATGTTTGTAATCGTTAAACAATATTTGTAACTATTATTCCATATAATTTGTATTCTTGTTTATTTTTTTAGTGTTTTGGTAATTTTTTATTTATTATTTCTAAATAACAAAATTTTAATATTTTAGGAAGCGGGTACCCAGAACCGGTTCCAAAAATTCAAGAACCGGTTCCGGTTCCAATATCTCAAAAACCGTCGGTTCTGGTTTCTCTTAAATAGGGCGGATACCCGCCTATGCACACCCCTACATATGAATGGTTAATTATTAAAGTGTTTCTCAAATTGTTAATTTTCTTTTACTGTTTTGCTCTTAAACCTCACTTTATAAATTATGGTTATTCATTTTTAAGGACTTATATTAAATCACTACGTCATTTTCATTTACTCTCAAACCAAAATCGGGTGTTCAAAATGATTTTTCAAGTAAGTAATATACGAGAACATAAATATACCCTCGAATTAACGACGTGTTTAAATGCTAACCATAGGGATAACGTACATAACAAATTCAATAATACCAGAACTCTATGACATTCTTCACAATTAACAAAGTGTAAAGACTCTTACCAAATATTGGACATAATCCATAATTCACTAATGCTTATAAAACATACATTTTTCTAATTTTTTATAAACTACAGTGATTACTTTAAATGTTAAAACAGATAAAAAATTATAAGGGTTGAAGAATTATTGAATTAAAAGAGAAGCATGGGGGCAAGATGGTTGTTTTCTTGAAGATTTATTAGGAAACCAGTTGAACTATTTATGTTATGGATGTTGTTTTACATCATTTTCTTCTGAATTTGATTAAATTTGAATTTCTAATAAGTAACTCGATCTGCACTTGTACATCAATGTGGGGAACAAGCTGAAAAGACAGAAATAGGCATCGACTGCTAAAATCGGCTTAAATTCGTTAAGAACAACTTGTCAATGTGTTTGTCGTATTGTTAGCACCTTGTGAATCAAGCTTGATTGAAGCTTGCTGATGACGTTGTCATCAAAATTAGAAGCATAACTTTTGACAATGAAACAAATTTTGGTATAAAGACAAACAAAAAGTTGTGTGAAAATAAGTGTATATAATAATATTTTTTACTTTTCTTATACTAGAATGCTTTTATATATTGTGTAAATGTGATTGTTTGAGATAAGGATATCAAAGTGCTTGATGAATTAGAAGGAGTTGATGAGTTGCATGCATTATTGAAGATTTTCTATGATATAATTGATGCATTTTATAACCTTTTAAGACCTCTATTATAAATCTCTATTTTCGGTGGCGAATGCATAGAAAGTTAACAAAGGTTGCATAATTAAGATATATAGATATTGTCTTTTGATAAAATACTTTTTGCAGTCGTTACTTCACAGATAAGTCTAATAAAAACAATTTAACATATTCGAGAAAAATTTAGGGGCTTTTGGTTTGTGGAATGGAATTTGGAGGAATTGAAATCTATCAATGGAATTTGACTTTGATGAAAATTGGAATGGAATTTGATTGAATTTGATCACGTGTTTGATTAGTAGGAATTGGAATGAAATCTCTATTAGTGACGTGGTGACATGTGGTTGGAGGTGGGGGTGGGCAATTGTAGGGGAGGGGATGGCAACTATGATGATGACAATAATGGTATTGGTGGTGTAGGGGGTGACCCCTCCATCCCACCCCCATCTGACCATCGTCCCTCCTTCGACACCCAAACTCCCGGTCCCTCAAGCCCGCACCACCACCTCGACCATTGCCCTAGGTCCTACCCCCAAACGTCCCTATCCTGTCCCCGATCCCCAACCCCACCACCCACTCCCACCTCTAGCCTATGCCAGCACCACCCCATCCCTCGACCCGCACCCCACCATTGCCCCCGGTCCTACCTCTAAACGCCCCCACCCACCCCAAACCTATGCAACACCACCCCAACCCCCAGGCCCCCGCACCCACCCTGCCCCTAAACCTACCTCCAACCGCCCTTAGTCCTGCCACCCCACCAACCCTTGCTTCGTGCCCATTATCCCCCTCGATATTATAACGCCCCACTTAGCCCCTGTCCCCCCACCTTGTTACACCACCCACATGGCGAGGGTAATTGTGACGAGGATAATAGTAGCATAGTGTTTGGTGGGTTGGTAGTTGTGATGATGATAGTAGTAGTATGTCGGTTGGTAGGGATGGGTGGTGTGATAATCGGGTTATTCGGTTATATAGCTTGGGGTTGTTTTTAAAAAAGCAATGGTAAGTGGAGGGGTTTATTGTGTCAATATGCCTAAATCCTTTTCTAAAATCACCACCGCCTCATTCTTATTATGTTTAACATAATGAGATAATTTTATTTATCTCATGGGGATGATATGAGATTTAAAAAGGAAAGTTGGTGAAATTTTTTATTATGTGTGTGCTTTTTCATACAAAGAAAACAAAAGCCAAGGGAGATTTTGAAGACAAAGTGATTATGTGAAATTGTCTGGATTAGTTGCTATTCATCTCCATAACTTCGTCTCTTTGTGATTGAGGTGAGTTTAATTTTATCAACTTTTCTTATTTGGAAACTAGTTATATAATCGTGTGGTTCTTTATATAAGATGATGTTCTAAATTTGTTTTGATGTCAAAATTTGGCAAATTATGGGTTTTTGATACGTTTATATCATGTGTTGAAATAAGGGTGACATATCAAGGAGAAGTGTATTTGCGTTATAAGGGTGACATATCAAGCAGAGGTGTATACTAGGATAAGAGTGGTATATCAAGGAGGGATGTATACCAGGATAAGGGTGGAAAAATCATTGAGTTATAAAATCTAGGTTTTTGTTCAAGTGTTCATAATTATCTCATCGTTATGATGTGATGACTTGGGGTTGTCACATTTGTGTGATGCGATAACTTTGAGTTGTCGCATTCTATTGATGTGATGAAGTGTGGTTATCACACCTATATGATGCGAGGAGTAAGTTTATCGCATCTTTGTGATGCAATAAAGTTAATTTATCACACCTGTGGGATGCGACAATTTGGGTTTATCGCTTCAGTGTGATGCAATGAGTTGTAGTCCTCGCACCAGTGTGTTGCGAGGAAATGAGATTGTCTCATCATGTCATGCGAGAAGTTACATGATGCGACAAGTTTACTCAAAATATGTTTATTAAGTAATTTGATTATTTGGATGCGATAAATGAGGTTCGTTATAGCAAAATGTTGTATATTTATTATTTTCAAATATGAGTTCATAAATGTGATTTGGTGATTATTCACCATGTAATTACATCAAAAAGATTTTTCACTAGACCTCGAGGTCTAACCCTCATTTTGTGTCTCAAAAATGTGCATTACAGGTCGGACGCAACTAGAGGATAAGGGGAAGGAAAATTTGTGAAGATTATATGATTGCTTTCTGGGATGTTATGATAACTTTTGTACTTGAATACTTGCTATGTATACAAGTTTTGTATAGGGATTTCATGGAAAATTTTGGTATCTACTTTTGTAATGTAGTTTTTATATATTTGGGACCGAATGTGTAAGTTTGTATTTCTTGATATATGAAATACATGGTTATACGCAAATGTGATCTTGGGGTGTATATGTGGCAGGGTGGTAATTAGGAGGACGACATTAGTGGCGTAGTGGTCGGGTGGTAGGGGATGGTGTTGGTGGGTGGGTGATGGGGTGGCAATGACAGTTGTGACGACGACAATAGTGACATGGTAGGGTGGGCGATAAATGTGATGACAACAGTAATGACATGATAATCCAGTGGTGGATTAGGGGTTAGGGTGGGGTGGGTGGCTAGGGACAAACTTACGTGGTAAGTATGGGGGATGAGACC